TCCCCTATTGGGTTGAGGCTGTCCGATTTCGTCTGGGCTCGAAATACGGTTGTTTGTAGAACAAGATTCTATCACAAGAAAATTGTTCAAGTCACTTGCCTGTCCCCTGATCGAAAAACTTAATATCAGATGGAAGGACGGAAGATATGTATCTAGTGTTTCGGATGTGCGTAAGTTCCGAAAACCTAACATCGACTCGGATCACTATCTTGCAGCAGCCAGGGTACACACCCGCCTCTATGTAGCAAATAACGTCCGTCAGCAAACACAAGCAAGGTTTGACATCGCGGTTTTCTACTCGACTTGCACTCTTTGGAAAAGACCCGCGAAAGGAGGATCGACACCCCCCACCTATTCGTCGATTTTAAAGCCGCCTTCGGCAGCACGAAAAGGAGCATATGCAGCTATGTCTGAATTTGGTATGGCTGTGTAAACTGACCTTGAGCAGCTCTAAAAGCTCCGTCAGGATTGGGAAGGACCTCCCCGAGCCTTTCGAAACCAAATGAGGTTTGAGACGGTTGCCACGTCTTTAAAAATGTTTGATTTCTTTCGCAAATAAATTTCAAAACACTTTCTAATAATAGAAAAATAATATTATATAATGTGAATTTATTGAATTAATATAATATATTAAAAGTATTTGTAAATGTCAGTACTATTGTATTATGTATAATAAATATTTACAAAATATCAAGAAACGTGACAATTATTACGGTTAAAGTCGGACAGATAAGGAGGCATGAAAATATAATTATTCAGAATTCCAAAATGAAATTAGTGATAATATTTTGATTCATATAAAATGGGAATTCTAGAGAAAAATAAGCAATCTTTGTCCCACATATTGATAAGTAGCAAGGTTTGCCTGGAATTATATTGAATATAAGCAAATAAATTACAATATAAATATGTATGTATATATGTAAAAGGGCAACCTATCAAACAATATTCGAATTTCCTAAACATTTAATAATAGATTCTCCCAGCAATTAAGAGACTACATACATACATACGTATGCATGCACGTACAACTGCTATTATTTGCATATGAATTTTAATTAATTTTTTCAAATGTTAATGCACCATAGCGACGCATTACTCATACGGAATCCCCCAATTATTACAATGCCGTTGTTTATGTCGTGCTGTTGGGGTTGCGCAGCGCTTTGATAATACAAACAATAGTTATAGATAAACAATCAATTAAATTGATGAGTCTAGATTCTTTGATGTTTGTGAGGTATGTTATAGAAAAAGCAAGTTTTAGTGTTTGTTTACATAAACATATTCCTGTGTGTGTGGGCGTTAAAAAATTAGAACATCGCCTTCGAAAATAAACAAATTGGGCTAAGTAAACCAAGCAATTATTTTGATTAAAATCTGTATATATGGATTTAAGAATATGATAAATTTGCTTTAAAATTATTGGTGTACCCTATTCAATATAATATTAGCAAACACATATTTGTAAGCCCGTTTTCTTATTATTAACAATAGTTTTAAATTCATTTAAAAGCTAATGGGATTTCCGTATACTCAGTGCTTTGATAACCACAATAACTCTAAATATTTATTAAATATTTGGCGCAGCATGAATTAGAAAAAATTGCTTTTAAATCTTAATTAACTTTATTTTTCTTCCTTTAATTTAATTTTCTATTTTTTTAATTTAATTTATTTTAATTTTTTTTTTCTTTTCAGTATTTTCTTTATTTCTATTTCTATTTCTTTTGTTTTATTTTTTTTTTTTTTATTTTATTTTATTTTATTTTATTTTATTTTATTTTATTTTATTTTATTTCATTTCATTGTATTTCAATTTATTTTGTTTTATTTTATTCTTGTTATTTTATTTGAATTTAATTTTTCTCTTTTTAATGCAATATTAACTAATTCTTCATTTAAATGATGGAAATTCTCACTTCATTTACGTTAACTTCAATTGCAACATTGAACATAATAAAAATAGGTATTACAAAGAACTATATTGTTTGCCTGAGTATATATAGATATACTCGTACGTATATGTATGTAGAGCAAGACACTACTATTGAATTACTTGGGGAATTCCTGTTTTAAAAATAATAAACAATCATAACCTGAAACGATTACAAAATATGTGAGTGTAGCAAACATATTCGAATATACATGTATACATATACATATGTATAGATATATGTGTTCATACATATATATTCATTTTTGTTTCGTCACAGTACTGAAGACAATTAAAAGGCTTAGTAATGTTCAAACTGGTTGTATGCACAACCATTATTATTTTTTAACATTAAAATATATATGTATTTATATACATGTATATTTCCGATATTTTCTTGAATTATTTGTTTGAATTTCTTTTTACTAGTTTTCTGTGATCCAAAATTAAGCTTAACACTAACTTATATACAAATGGATATTTATTTGAAATTGTTATTTATTTTTATTGCTTTTATATAATTTGTAACAAATATTAATAGCAAACTCCTTGTAAAGCGCCAGTTTGCAGATGACTAAAGGCATGTTTAAGTGCTTTTATGGCCACGTGATTGCAATATTCTTTCCACTGCATTATTCAGATTTAAACATCAAATAATCCATTCCTTACTCAGATACTTTTGAAAATTTTAGAGCTTTCTAAGAAAAAAATTGACGAAAGTAATAAATATTTATTTTCTTCGAAACCGCCATACATAATTTGATTTCTTAAAAAAAACACACATACTAAATGTTAAAAAAGTTAAAATATTTTTTATTTAAAATAAAGTACAATCGATACAACTAAATTTTGAAAATAAAATCATTATAATGGCCTCCACGACTTACTTTGCAGGAATGAATTGGGCCCAATTTTTGAGAACTTTTTCTACAAATCAATATTGAAGCTTGAAGAGAGTTTATTGCTAAAGACTATTTACTTCCAATTAGCCCACAAGAAGAAGTATAATGGTGTTAGATCACAACTTCTTGGAGAAAATTCAATGTCACAATTTCTTCAAATAATCGAATCCACAGACCTTTCTCGTAACAATTCGGTTATTGCACGTGTGTGTGGTTGTTGTTGTTTGTAAACTTTGTTCTTGTTTTTAATTTGCCATGATGAAATTGTAAACATTACTAAATGAAAACGCAATGAAAAATCATGACAATAAAAATGGCCAAGACGACAATTAGAAATCATATCATGTCTATTGGAATACCTTTTACATACATATGAAAATAAACATAAGGAAAATACATAAAATCAGGAAAAACTGAAATAAAATACGTATACAGCGTACTCTTATGAGTTTGTCTTCATTCTTACTGTTTGGCAACTAAAATCAAATTTTTTAGAGACGACAGCTTTTGGTCCAAAGATTATATACCAGAAACCACTGGATATATATATAATATATGTAATTGGCGCTTTGTAACCGCTGAAACGATTTTTCGGCCGAGCTCCTCCTCCGATTTGTGGTTTTGCGTCTTGATGTCTTTTTTATGAGGAGCCTTTATTTCATGTCCAAAATATAATATACTCGTGAGGGTTGGCAATCCCTGCCGAGGGGCGACCGCAATTAGAATATTTTACTTAATTTTTTATCGAAATCAATTTCTATAGCTTTAGAAAGTTGGTTGGGAATTGAACCCGAGCCTTCCGAATGGCAGTACGCAATGCTAACCACTCGGCTGCTACGGTCGCCAAAGACCTAAGCTAAAAACGTATTAAATATGAACGCGGTCGGGCAAAAAATATTATATTATTTTAACCATTTTATTTTTTTTTGTATTTATTTTGTTCTTTTATTTGACTTTATATTATATAATATATTTTATTTTACCCCATTTTATTTTACTTTGATTTATTTAATTTAAATTTATTTTATTTTATTTAATTTAACTAAATTTTATTTTACTTTACTTTAATTAATTTAACTAAATTTTATTTTACTTTACTTTATTTAATTTAACTAAATTTTACTTTACTTTATATAATGTATTTTATATTACTTTATTTTATTTTATTTTATTTTATTTTATTTTATTTTATTTTATTTTATTTTATTTTATTTTATTTTATTTTATTTTATTTTATTTAATTTTATTTTTTTTATTGTATTGTATTTTATATTATTTTATTTCATTTTATTTTCGTGTATTTTATTTTATTTTACTTTATATTGTTTTCCTTTATAGCATTTTTTTTTTAATTTTTAATTAAATTATTTAATATTTCTGTTATTTTTATATTTCCAATGCTTTTATTTGATGTAATATGTTTCATTTAAAATAATATAATTTAATTTTAAATCAAATTCTTTCATTTTATTTTATTTGTTTGATTTTTTCTGTTTAGCTTAATCTATTTTAGTTTTTTTTATTTTGCTTTAAATTTTTAACTTTTTATTGGTTTTGTTTTATTTGTTTGAATGCAGTTCTATTTTTACACTTAATGTGTATTTCTGCTTTTCTTACTTTCAAAAATTATTTATGCGCCCTCGAAGTGTAATTCAATCTTTTTTTCTCCTTTGCAAAGAGTTCAACAGAAATCACAAAAAACCGGAAATTATATTATTTATTCAATCATTTGTATGTATGTTTTTATATGAAAACCACTGATAACAAGCAAAACTGCAAGAGATTGAGCAGTAATCGGCAAAAGCCGCGGAAAAGTAAAATAATTAAAAGGCAAACGGGAGAATATCAACAGAATATCTGCAAAGCCGGTGCAATATCAATGCTAACAGCTGAGCGATTCTACAATCTCTCAACACCAGCCAGTTCAATTTAATAAATATTTATAAAACGAACTTTACAGAAGTGCGATCAGTGCTGTTTTGCCATAGTAGCCGCAACGACGAGCGTGAACGAGAATTTTTCGCGGTCAGGCAGCAGAGAAAAATAAAAGCAAAATATAGTATACAGGATAAGGAAAGAAATATGAAATAGAAAAAAACAAAATAAAATAAAAAAAAGTGTGAAAAATATCTGCTCATACAAGAAATTATATATACAAACGTTACATACATCTTTAAGTTAAAAATGTACATAAGAACTTTGTAATTATAAGAAAAGAAAAAACAAATACTCGTACTCGTACAGCATCACATCGCGGCCGGTATCGTGTTTATCATTGCAAAAACAGGTATTTGAAAGCAAAAAAGAAAAAGCCCAAGTGACGTGACGCGAAGAAAACCCGCCTTTGAAGAGTACGACAAAGTCAACGTGTGACTGTTTCAGCGTGCTGTGAAGTGCAGAACAGAAGCAGAGATAAATCTTAACAAAATGCGGGGAATTTTTCGTAAGCATCTTACAAATAATCTAGTGTGCAATACATATACATAAATATGTATGTACTTATGTAGAAAAATTAACATTTTTTCTATAAAAAAAAAGGAATTAGTGCGAAAAAATAAAAAAGTTGGCAGAAAATGTTTATTTTTATGGAAATACCAGATAATTATGTGATAAATTTAAAACAAAAGTAGGAGAGACTAATTTCGGTTGGAACCAAACATAAAATATTCGACTGGTATTCATATGAAGTCCACAGATCAGTCAAAAATTGAAGGTCTGTTGTGTGGATGGTAGGTTCAATTCTGGACCTGGACTTACGACAAGCATTTTCGGTAGTAATCCCCTATTAAAGTAGCATAATTGCTTACCAAGTCAGATTAAGTTCTGTTGATGCATACCTTAAATGCTCGATTAAGAGCCAAGCGGAGGTGGGAAGTAAAAGAAAACGTTGTATGGGACAATCCCGTCAGTGTTTCCTGGTTGCGCTCATGTTCAATTTGCTTTTTATACTAGACTTCCTTAGTAAGATCTAATAAATAAAGAGAGGAAACCATATTGAGGTGGGATATCCTATTAGCTAATGGTGTTTCAGGGCTGTGTGGGTTGTCTGTGCCGATTATTTTTTCGACCACTGGTAATAAAAGCCATTCTCGACTTTCGACTCAAAAATATACGAGCTAAGTCTCGGACGCCACCAAAGTCTGGCGTTTATAAGTTGGAGATTACTTCTTAATGCCTCTAAATTACCATTAACAATCTATTTTGTCTTAAGTGTCTACCTTTAGATGAACAGATCTAAGCTACCTCAGAAATTCACCCAAAAGTGTGGACACTTCCTTCTTGAAGCCTACGGCATTCCGATTTTTTAGTTGCTTTTCTTGGCCCAGCTACAGCAGTCACCGAGCCATAGATAACTACTTATTATCTAAACTAAAGTAAAAGAGTTCGTCTATGCTATTCGAAGACTGTGAAATGTTTACAAATAGTTAAGTACACAAGTACTTCTACCCGGAGATTCAGGGACCTACGAAGACGCTCACTGAAACTTGACAAACTGGACCTTTCAGCACCTTCAAAAACTGTCTTAAAGAAACGCCAAAATAAGGTTCAAACTCTGGAATACTTCTTAACTTATGTATAATGTAAAGTCGACTGTATAAAGCTCAGCTTCAGAAAGAGAAGAGGTTGTATTTTACCTCTGTCAGTTTCTAAATGTTGACTACCTACTACTTACGATCTTCTAAAGTGACCCATCGAAGTCTTCATGTAAGCTCAACTTCCAGTAAACAAACCACGCAATACGTGATTTGGAGAAGGTTTAGAATAGATGCAGGCACCATTTGTTAGAAAATATAGAGACTTCAATCAAAAATTGAAATAGGAAATTTAATGCGAGTATCGAGATCAGCTGCTCCGAACACACTGAGAGAGTGTGGCCCATTTGAAGTTGAAGTAAAAAATGTTTGAATTCGATCAAAAAATTTATGGAAAAATAGTCAGTGTTTCAGAGGAAACTGTCAAGTTTGGAAAGATCTGTAATCATAAATTTTCCTTATTTTAAATAAAGATTAAAATAATTTTAAAAATCTTCTTTTTTCTCAGTGGCACTAATAATTGGCCTTGCAGCGACACAGGCAGAGCGCTTATACAGCCAGAGCAGTTATTTATACGAACAGCACGAGCAGAGCCGAGGCCAACCACAATATGACGCACAACAAGATATGTACACCAGAACAGAAACACAATCCTCGAAAGTTTTATCGCTCAGCTCAACACACCGAAGTAGTGCAACCGTGCAGACTAGTATAAATGATGGCAGATCATCACCAGCAGCCCGACCAGATTCAGCCATCAATTTTAAATATCCCGGAAAACCAGCAAAGGCAGGTCAACCACTTTTGCAGGCATATTCACCACATGGAACCGCATTTTCTGATAGAAATCCAGTTTGGGATAGTACAACCACAACAAGTCCATATCAAAACAACCGTCAACCAATTAAAACGGCTACTGCCTTCCAAAATCCACAAAGTGTGAGAATTAACAATAAGAATTTCAATACCGAACTCTTTCAAAGTGTTGCTCGTGCATATCCCGAATATAATGTCGTATATTCGCCCATTTCACTGCAATTGTTGTTAGCCTTCCTCGCTATTGGCTCCAATGGCTCCACCTATGATCAGTTGAAGTTTGCACTTGGGCTACCCAGTAGACTAGAGGCTGATAAACATTTTAGTGACTTACGACAAAGTCTCCAGCAACCTCCCGCTGCACAGCTGATAATGGCGAATAAGATGTATTTTAACAACCGACTAAGATTGCATCCGAGCATACACGAACGTGCCACGTACTATGGCGTTGAAGTTGAAGGTATCGACTTTAACTCACCACCCGCGGCTGCGTCAAGTATTAACTATTGGGTTGCACAAAAAACCCTTAACATTATTCCCCAACTAATTTTGCCGGCACAATTAGATGAACAGACGCAGGCGATGCTTGTCGGTGCGATACACTTCAAGGCCAAATGGGCGAAAGAGTTCTCTAAGCGTGATACGGAGAAACAAAATTTCTATGTGACACCGACGCGTTCAATTTCAGTCGATATGATGTATGCTGATGATACATTCCGTTATAGTGAGTTTCCCGAGTTGGACGCCGCCGGTTTGGAATTACAATATGCAAACTCAAATATTTCAATGATGATATTATTGCCGAAAAAGCGTAACGGTTTGGCTGAGATGGAGCAACGTTTGCGTAATACCGATTTGAATAGGTTGTCGGCGCGTATGCAGCCTGAAACGGTAACATTGCGTCTGCCAACATTTCGTGTGGAGTTCGAGTTGGACATGCGAAGAGCGCTAGAAGAGGTAAGTTGGAAAGGCATTGGAAAATAATTTGAAAAAAATATCAAAATGTTTATAACTGGTGTGAAGGAGGAAAAGCTTTAAAAAGCTTTCGGCAGGCTAAGCCTTTAAGGCTTTGCAACCGCCGCAGAGAGAACCCCTTCTCAGACCTATGTATATCTGGAAGAGGGAAAGTTTTGACTTTATGTAAATACGTCATGGTAATGTTTGTTAAGTTTGTGATTGTCCTGGCAGTTTCCCTCTCTAATAAGTAGCGACACTCTCTCTTGAAGCAGTGTAGCTCGCTTAAGCTTTTTATCGAAAAAGTTTGGGAGCATGAGGGATCTCACTCTCTCGTCTCTTACAGAACAGCTACTAGACAGATGATTTGCTAAAAATTATAACTCTCAGAGCTGAGTCTAACACGGTCGAGTCTGTGTACCTTTTGGTACCGAAATTTTCGCTCATCGAAAATAATCGAATTAATTTGCCTGCTTTTTAAAAAACACACTCCACCGAAATACATATAAATATGTATATGTATATTGCCCTTTTTAGTATTTAAACCCATCGAATCAGCTTGTACTTTCGCCTCTTTCTCAGATGCCATTTAATTAACTTTTCTTCGATCTCCCGCTATCTTTACAGCTTGGTATCAGCGATATTTTCACCAATCGTGCCGATTTGAAAGGTTTCTTTTACGGTCAAGAGGTTGGTGTATCACAAGTGCAACACAAGGCCTTTCTCGATGTCAATGAGGCTGGTTCAGAAGCGGCAGCAGCAACATGTAAGTATTTATTGGGCCAAGAAACGATTCCGAAAAAATCATTTAATTGAATTTAATACATCCTCACACCAAAATCCACTCTCTTTCCTTTACAGTTATCAAGCTAATACCACTCTCACTACCCAATCGCATTATAGAATTCACAGCTGACCATCCATTTATGTTCGCCATAAGGAGTCCGCAGGCAGTCTTATTCATTGGACATGTCGTTAATATAGAGTAAAGAGTTATACATACATATACATATATTCTTACTCACACACATGCGCAATAATTGAGTAGAAATCCCTTAAGACTTATAATATTTTTTTATTAATTAATGTGTGCAGACGCACATGAATAATATGCCGTTAAATGCATCCTTTACAATATTTAAATATTTTTTTGTAATAAAAAAAATAACATCAGAGTGGAGAAGAAAAATATTAAAACATAAGAAACAAAATACTCAATTAAATATATGTATTTAATAAATAAATGATATTTTGTATTTAAACACAAACATTTTTAATAATTTTAAAAAGGCAAGCGCGGAACCTAACCGTGGGAAAATATGAGAGTAAGAAAAGCAAAAACTGAGGCAGAGAGGAAGTTAACATGTGGACGAAATTATTCTCTGAGATTTTATGTTAAGCTGTTACAGTCTCTGTGAAAAAGCTTCCAACTATCTGTCAATCCTTTTTTTTTCTTTTAAAATTTCAGAAGCTAATAAAATTCAAAAAAAATAAATAAAATTTGTATCTTGAAAGAAATAAAATAAAATTTAATATTTTATATTAAAAGAGCTAAAAAAATTTAATAACATAAAACTTAAATAAAACAAACTATGAAAGCATAAGAAAAAAAATAAAATAACAATGTTTGTTTGTAATAAATTAGATTTTTTATTAAGTAAAATAAAAAAAAAAATAAAAATTAATTAATTAACATGAAAAATAAAATAAATAAAAATAATATGAATAAAATTACAAAATAGATTAAAAAATATAGACAAAAACATACATTAAAATGAAATAAAATAAAAATAATAAAAAAGTAAATAAAATTAAATTTAAATTAAATTCACTTCAATGGAAATTAAAGAAATAAAGTCAAATAGTATAAAAAACTAAAATTAGACAAAATTAAATAATAAAAAAAGAATAAAATCTAATTAAATTATACAACTATAAAAAATCATAAACTACAGAGTTGTCCATTGCGTGATTTCAAAACCACATAGCTGCTTAGTATTTTGACATTTGTCAAACTTAACTGACAAACCAGGCATGCTTCGTTTTGGCCACATCTTAATTAGAAAAACTCTATTATATACTACAAAACAAAAACTTACTGTCAGGTGCGCTCTTTGGTCCGAAGGTGTGATTAGGAAGGGTTATGCTTACATTAAAACCCACTTTTTTGGCTTACTTTTGAAGGAAACGTTTTGAACAATATATGGTTTCAACAAAATAGTGCCACACGAGCGAATATGCCTTTACTGCGAAGAAATTTTTCCGACCACATTATCCCTTGCCTTTGCGACATGAATTGGCCACTGAGATCGTGCGATTTGACACTGTTGGTCCTTTTTTTGTGGAACTATATAATAGTTGGGACTGAGATGCGGTCCTATATGTTACACTTTTTAATCAAAATATGGATTGGGAAATATACGAGTATACCCCAAATGCTTTTCTGCATCTATATTTCTATTTAATGCTTTCATCCCTCAGAAATGTGACTTTGGCAGTAAACTTAATTACTGAATTATCGTGATTTTCGTATTGTTTTTACATTACCGTAATACGAAAGACAGTCACAGAGCTCGTCCGATTTCATCCATTTGAAGTAGCGTTCGTACTTGAGACCCAACGTTTGTGTGAACCGAGTTTCATAAAAATATCTCAAAAATGTGATTCGGTTATCGTGGACATCCAATCATTTCATGAATATAAAAATACCCATTTCTATATCTGTCGATGTTTAAAAATCGATATTTTTAACCAAGTTACCATTTTAAGCACAAATCTCCAGTTTCAAAAGTTAAAAATTATCTTCTTCTTCGGGTAGAAATTTTTATCATCAAAAATGCTATTAAATTCACTGCTGTAGAATGGGAAACCTGCATAAATTAGTATATTTCTTTATTAATGACGTTGATGCAATAGGTCAGAGATTCACTGCGCAAACCGTATTAGTTTGTCTTAAGAACTTGAAAACCCACATTTAACCAGATATAACCAGGAGAGAAATACTCGTGAAAAGATGTATCGTGCTCCACACAATCCCTTCGTCAAACTTGGTATCAAACCAATACTCAACACATTGCGACTTCAAGTCACTGTTGTTGGCAGACATAATTTTGAAGTCCCATATGGTTTCGTCTATTATAGAGCCTAGATTAACAGTAAGAACAATGTTAGTCTTCAAATGAACAAAGTCCGCTCTCAACGAACAAAGACTAAACTCTATAATATTTTACGGAAGCTTATTGGTCCTTTGCTATCGGCTAATATCGCAGAGTAAATTTAGCGTATCTAAAGGTAGGTGCTGTACGCTGGCTATGTCATTTTCTCCACCCTTCGGTGGGAGCAAGAGGTGGAGGAGGAGGAGGAGGAGGAATACCTCCACCCGATTAGAAATATCACAGTTCAAAATGATCAAAAGAAGAAACGGCTGCCGCCCTGTTGTTAACTCGGTAAAAAAAAGATGAAGTTATTCTGATCGAAATTTTTACATGTAGTATAGCTGGTGATGTATTATGTGTTTTTAGAACAGGCAGATGAATTTATTTTCAGTTTAAAGTGATTTTAGAAATGGATTAAGAGTAGTAATTACAAAAAGGGATTATTAGAAGCTATTAAAAATATTTTCATGACTCCAATATAGAAGATAACTTCACGTCTTTTCGTCAAAATATAGGTTTCGTCAGAGGTTTCACAGAGAGATTTCGTATATTATTATAATAAATTAATCCATTTATTGTTTTGAATTAAAAAAAATCTGTGCCTTTAGCAAAATAATAACGAAAATTGGTTTATGATTTTCAAATCCACAGTTTCCACTTTTTACTAACACACTGTAAATTTTTTATTTTTAAGCTCTTCAATTAGATTATCTGCATGAATATTATCAAGTCGAAAAATTGAAAGAACTAAAATTAAATTTAGTTGCTTAGCAAGCGATTGAGACAGCACACTCTGTAGAATTGTGTTTCGTTCTGGATTTTCCCACTTAAACACAGATAATTTCTAAATCAAAACACGAGCTTATTATGAATCTAAGGTCATGTAAGTAATGAAATATATACATACAAACAAATACAATTTAGTCTGTAAATACATATATTTATATAATTTTGTTATACGGCAACCTATCTAATCATCAACCCCAACGCATCAGTCTTCGTTGCGCTCAGTCGCATCTTCGTGCTCCAGACGATCACCGCCAATGCACCGGCCCTTACAGCAAAATTAGCCAGCGATCGTTTCGCCTTGGCGCTCACCACGGCGCTAGGCTTGCAGTCACCTGCAGAAAATGTGCTCATCTCACCAGTGTTGGCGCAGGCTATGCTTACACTACTCTCTTATGGCGCAGACGAACAGCAGGCTGCTGCTCTCCGCGCTGCATTACATTTACCGCCTGGTGAGCGGAAACAAACTGCGACACTAAACATGTCACTGCTTTTGAGCTCAGCCAAAACGCTAGCGCAACAAAATGTACATTTGGTGAGCGCCATCTATGTGCAGGAGCATGTTTTGTTCAAATTTCAAAAGGAATTCTCGGAAATGTCAACGGTGCATTTTGAAACACCTACGAAAATGTTGAATTTCAATCGTAAGACACTCGATGAGCTCAACTATTGGTTCTTGCAGCAAACCAATTATACCAGCGGTGAAGTGATCCAGACTGAGTTGGCCGAATTGCGTGATCGCTTTATTTTGGCGAGCGCCGCGGTATTGCATGCACCATGGGCGGTGGGTTTTAATGTGAAAGAGACGGAGAAATTGAATTTCTTTAACGATCGCACGAAACATAAATTAGTCGATTGCATGTTTGTGACACACAAATTTCGTTATGCGGATTTGACGCATTTGGATGCTAAGTTAGTAGAGTTGCCGTATGCGAATCAGACGCTGAAGCTATGGCTGCTGTTGCCCAACGAATTGGACGGTTTGGCGCAACTTGAGGAGAAATTGCTGCATGAAGATCTCAACAAAATCGAGGCGCAGTTGAGTGAGCAGAAAATTGTGCTGACGCTGCCGAAATTCCGTGCCGAATATAATGTGGATCTCAAAGGTGCGCTAAGTGCGGTGAGTTTATTGTTTTTAATTTAATGTTTTCTTTCTTACGCTTTTCTTAATCTTTCCCCTCTTCATTAGCTGGGCTTTGCTAGCATTTTCGATGGCGCAACGAAATTCACGCATATGTTCACCTCCTTTTTCAATACCCGCTCACCAGCTGTGACGAATGTGCCCCACAAATCGGTCTGGCGTGTGGATGAAGAAGGCGTCGCTGGCAGTGAAGAGGAGTTTTGTAAGTTTTATAATTAAAATTATAGTAAGAATCTTTTTGAAGTCTCTTTTTGACTTACTTTTTAGCATTCGGCGGATTTTTTAGACGCCCCCTGCAGTTGGTGGTGAATCATCCATTTTATTTCTTAGTCAAAAGTGAAGTTGCTGTTTTACTGGCTGGTCATATTGTTAATGTTTAACCCATAGGAGAAGATATGGCAATAAGTGAAGAAAGTGAATGTAATAAATTGGAGGACAAGAAGCATTTTTGAACATAGATTAATGTTTTTTGATTTACATTTTAATTGGAGTAGAAAAAAAAAGCTCAAGAACAGAATGATTGGTTGGTCTGTTGCCTGAAACGCTGTTACAGTCATAATTTTGTAATGTCTTGGAGTAGTCTTGTCGAGTCTACTTTCCTTGCTCTAAGCTCTCAAGGTTGATAATATTATACAAACGGCAGAGGCGCTCGATTGAGCTGCTTGATACTGTCAAAAAGAGTGGTGCCCAGAACACACAAGAATCTCATCGTCATTGCTTTCGATGTTTTGGCAGACCGATTGCCCAAATCGCTTCGAATGCAGTCAAGTAGTCCCACAAATGAATCTGATTTTGAAAAGAAAATGTTGATTACTGACAACACTGTCTGCTGGCTTTAATGAGCGAAATTCCAGTATTTGAGAACCGATTTAGGACGGCGGTCGCGGCAAGCCATCATCCGTTCATTCCATTTTTGCAACGAAAATCCTCTAGACGTCTGATTTCAAAAATAAAATGGCAGTGACTAGCCTCCTAACCTGACTTATCCAAACTTACTTTTGTAAGATTATTTAAAAAGCAAAGTGTGCGACAGCAATCCGTAGACCAACTGACGAGGTCAGAGCAAATATTCCTGCCGAAATCAAAACTACACACAAAATACTCGAAAAAGTAATGGAAAACCCGGCAAGGAGAGTTCATTTGGCTCAGGCCAGGAGAGACCGTCACTTGATTGATGTTGTATCAAAAATTGCAACGGTCAAGATGCCATTAAAATGCCTCGAATACAGAAATTATTATTTTTTAAAGTTATTCAGTTCACGACGGCTTCGATAGCGGAGATGTTAGCGTTGCATACGACGCTCAGTTTAGAAATCTGGTTTGACCAACATCCAGAATTATACAAATTAATTAATCGCCGTCGCCACTCGACCAGGAATTTCACTCCTTTTGCATATATTTCTGACACAACATAAAAGCTCTTCATACAAATCCATCGGCCGTCCGGAGGCAGCTCAGAATAAACAGCCGGAAATAGCTTCAATGGCTGAAAACACATTTCGTCAGTATCTCAGCCATAACTTGACGACTAGCACTTAGTTTTCAAGTGCTTAAGAGTTAAAGGTTTATCCGCGTAATCGCGGTCTTTCGCGTGGCCCGGAGGTGGGTCGTCAAGACTTAAAGTTCTGCAGCGGGGAAATTTCTATTCCGAAAAAAAAAAAACATTCGCTCGTGTTGTGTGGCATATGGCACCATCTTGTTGAAGCTACAGACTATCCAACCGACAAAAGTCGGTTATCAAACGACCAAAAGGCTCCGAAGTACGAGCTTCGAGTTACGGCTAACAGTATCGCTGTTGTCGTTTGAAAGAGGTAAGATCCAATCACACCTCCATACCAAAGAGCGAACCAGACAGCAAAATTTTTTAATTTTTTGGTGCAGTGGCCACTCTTCATTTATTTGAAAATTCTCGGTGGCCCACGTACGCTCCGAGTGAGAAGTGTGCCTCGTCGCTGAAGAAAATTTCGTTCGTGCAGCCAATCGACATATGTACGGCGTTGAGAATGACCAGCTGGCTTCAGTTGATGTGTAAGCTGGACTTTATGTGGATGTAGGATATGTCTCTCTCAGCTCTCGAGAATTTTGAGAAATAAACACATTCGGCTCTTCGGCTACACTTTCACTTACTTACAGATATTTGAGGTGGAACGAGGAAAGGATAATCCAGAAACCATTGGATATCCGCAGCCGAGGCTTAAATATTTTTTTTAAATATACTAATTGTTTGAGTAGTTGAACGCTTGGACGATTATGTGTGGCAGAATCTCCACTTAAAGCACGAAACGTGGTTACGTATGAATCGCCATTTTTGTTGTGGGTTCTAACAAACGCATTATGCGGTTGTGAAGCGATTCTTTGTCATAAATGCCGCATTTTTAGCTAAAAGAAATTATGTCTTGCGCGACAGGTAAGTTTGACAGATGTCAAAATACAGGATTGTGCCTTAGAAACTACGAAGTGAATAATCCTATATATACCAACCCTTCTAGCTTCAATTCCAACTTCTGCGTCATTCATTAACAATGAACTCAGAGCTTAAAAAAATGAGAAAGATTGCAAAGTGAAAAAAATTATTAACTCAATTTTATTCATATTATTATTTTTTCTAGTTTACTTTTTTATAAAAATATATTTTAAGTACTTAGCTACAAATAAATGCATATTGTTTTAACACAAAATACAATCAGTGTCATCAGAACAATTACACGCCACATCACAGCAGCAATCTATGCACATGGCTAAACAACACGGTTCTTCCAGGGTCGTCTCAATAGCTATATCCACTGCTGTATCGACAACACGACTTGTAATGCTCTTCTCCTCTTCTTTATTGGGCTGCAGCATAGTTTCACATTCTTCCCTAAACCCGGTATAGGTGAGGGGATACACTTGTGGCACGCCATTCATTTTCAAATTACTTTTTAAATTTTTTAAATTAATTATAATATTATTTTTAGACAATTTATTTAATAAATTCTACTTTAATAAAATTCTAAACAATTCAACTCGTGTTGCAACAAATGTGTTTTCTGTAAATAACTAAATATTAAATACTGAATCAATGAACAGCAAATTCGCTTTGTTGACTTATTTATGTAAATATTTTTGCTTACATATTACAATTACAAGCATTTAAGTATATTTCTCTTTGAAACAATAACTTGTTTAACTCGCTCGCTCTCTATGTTTCTTTAGCTCAACACGCAGATTGTCACTCTCTTTGCGTTCGCCGGTAAGTATGTTTATTGCTTTATTGTACTCTCGCTCTCTCTGCCGACTCGGTAGGAAATTTTTTCCCAACAATGCCAAGAATTGTAGTGAGGATGATTTCATAAGAGCACAGTGTTATATCTAATTTTCAAAAAATGGCTTTAAAAATCATATTTAAGAAAAAAAAAAATAAAGCATTTTTCATTCATTTTTTTTTTATTTGAATGAATCCGAATATTATATTAATTTTTGATTTGTTTAAAGCCATTTTATCGAGTGCCTTTTAACGTGAGTATCACGAAACCTGGAGTAAAATTTACAAGTGCTTTGAAGAGGAAGAAAGAAACAACGAAAATCAGCTGTTCTAAATGTAAATCAAGTAAATATTCTTGAATTTCTCTCAGCAATATGAGGCACAGAGGCTTCTTCAAACCTTTCTTCAAGCTCATGAATATAAAATATCCGTCTCTTTTCCATTATATTTATAAATTATGGCAAGAAAAAATAAGTAAATTTGTAAATCAGCTGTTTTCTGTTTGTAAACAGAAAAGATGACGTTGTCGAAAAAATTAATTTTTAACCAGCGCTTTGACCGCCTCTTAAATTTAACAGACACATTCTAAAACATACAAAAAAACCGAAAACGTTTTTAAAAAGAAGCTAATTTTAGCACGCAATCGGAAAAACGGTCTTTAAATTAATTACAGTATTTAAAGCGAAACAAATTTACATAAATTTGGAAAAGCGCATGTAGAATTAACTCTTTTACTTAAAAAATGGTTTACCGAAAAAGAAATCTGTAGAAACATTACCAATATTGTTAGAACATGCCTGACAAACCAAATATTTTAATTCCCTGAACTCTTCAGCAGTGTCCTTAACGACTAAGTGTAGAAAGTGCTGGAATAAAATATCTAGGGAACCGATATTTAACTAGCAACTTGTAGCTAATCTATATAATATAAGTTTTGTTAATTAAAAATAATAAAAATAGATAATAATAAATAATCAGTTATGTAGCTTTTTCAGATGAAACAATTGCTTATTGCAATTTAATAGATTTTTGTTTACAAGCTATTTATTAACTATTATTTAATATTTATAAAGACGTATCACTTCTGCAGTTTCGAAAATGTACATAAATATAATGTATTTAAAAAAATTTTTAAGAAATTCTTTTTTATTATAAAGTGTGAACTTTGGTTTTATTTTATATATATATATGAAACATTGCAATATTCAAATGATCGGCTCCCAAATTTTTGCAATTTCGATACGTTTAAGGTATTTCTCGACCACTTTTTGAAATATATTGGGCAGTAACTCAGCCTTAACTTAGAAATACAGGTTTAATCGCACAAACGCTTTCTTTCACGCAGCCCCAGAAAAAAAAAAGTTCAGCACGGTCTAGTCGCACGATCTTGGTGGTCAATTGACAACACGAAGACTAGATATTACGCAGCCGATAAATCTATCTTAAAAAAGTCTTATTCAATCGTTTTTATTCCTAAATTCCGCTTATTAAATTTTATTTACAAATATTAATACATTTTTAAGTATTTTGAAGAAATTTCTTATAATTTATAAAAACGTTGCTGCTAGATTTTTTAGTTAAATAAACGCAAATGAACCTTTTCACCAATAAAGTCAATAACTTATTTATCTCTATCATAAAAAATTATGTTAAATAAAACATACTAACGTTTAGTATGCCATTTTCCGCCTGGGTTTTGTTATAGAGAAATTTGCAAATCGCTTTGTTCATACAACTATGAGTATATATTGAGAGAACTCTTTTAAGTTGTTTGCGAATAAAGAGTAATTCAACTGAAATAATTTGCACTATGCTTCCGCATTAAATAAATTTATATATAATATAAGTGTGTACATATGTGTGAGGGGTTTTCAAGAAATAAAATATGATTAATAAAATTCTTAGAAGTCATGCTTTTGTCTCTAAGTACTTTGGAAAAACGAGATTTGCAATTTTTACCGCTACACAATAGATTGGATATTTCTTACGTTGGTTTCGTCTATACAATTATGATAAACATTTAAAAAATTATGTTGTTAACTCTAATTGCACTAGTCAACAAAGTGTTTTTTTTTTATTTCTTGTAGAACAAAATTTTTGTTAAAAAGCGTGCATAAAATATAAAAAAAAATGTACATATTTACATATGTATACAGGGTTAAATAGAACATTGAAGCGGGTTAGGGTTATTAAATGTAAAAAGCTTTTTTTAAATATAAAATAAATCAAGTATTAGGTGTAACAAAAGGAAATCCATTATCTTTCCAATAGATGGCGTTATTTATTTGCGTTTCGCCTTGTGTAAGTCCGATCGGGTTCCACTAGATGGCGTTAGGAAGACGACATTTCGTATTAAAAAAGCTTTTCGGATAGTTTTGTGATTAATTGATTCAGTTTTGTTTGAGCGTACTTCAAAGATGGACACTAGCAAAGAGAAAATGCGATCTATTTAAGAGTTTTACTGCGATAAGGGCGAAAATGCCAGACAGGCGGCTGAAAACGCGAATAGCGTTTATGGTCCTGATACTGTTACAGTCAATCATGCACAATTTCGGTTTCTTTCCGGTAATTTGGATGTAAGTCCTTCACGGAGAGGAAAGGTCAATTGTCGAAAATGTCGATAAAATCACAGACATTGTTGAGTCCGACCGTCATGTAGGCACTGTGTCGTTTATCCAAGAGGTAAGAATTGCACAAAAAATCGCTTAGAACCATTTGAAAAAGGCTGCATACAAAAAAAATAAAGCCTTCAAATTCATACAAAAATGGATTTATTTTTACTAAACCTAATATAAAAAAAATATAACGACGTAGATTTGTCACGTGTTTCGAACTATAGAAATTTATAAGCAAAACATTTGTATAATAGTATTAGGTCCAGTAAGAGGTAATCAACTATTTTTGTAATTTATATCAAAGGCTTTATTTACCATTGTTGGAACTATTTCATTTATATCAAATATGCACCGCTTTGCTCGATAAATTTTGCTATTTTGAAAGTAATGTCATCACGCCTCTCTCATAGAAACCCATGTCCCTATTGGCAGAAAAATTGAGACAAACAATTTTCATAGGCTTCTCTGTAGACTAAATTTTCACCAGCCAAATCATTCGCCAAAGACAGCAAAATATGGTAATCACTTTTTTCGACGACCGGTCTATGGGGTGGATATATGTATAATTATCGATGGCTTGCTTCAGACGGTCCTAATCCTGACAGTACAGCTTCGAATTATGAGTTTGGTCGTAGGGGAGCAGCGCATTGTAAATGATTCTTGCAATTTTCACCAAACACTCAACAGATTCTTCCTGGTATGGATATTGTTCGTGCCGACTTACTGCTCTTCGACCAGGAGCGTTTTCGTATGACGTTGTTTTAAGTGATCCAGTATTCATAACTAGTCGTTAACCGACTTAAAAACTAGCCCGGCAACAAAAATGGAATTATGCGCACTTTAGCATTTGTCCTAAAATAATATTTTTTATTAATTCAAAAATATATTTTATAATATTCTGAAATAAACTACTAACATTTTATTTTTTTTTACCGTTTTCGAGCAGTTCCTAACGGAGTACTCATTAGCGTATGGCTCTTCCGAGCGCATCATACCGAATTATAACAACGAGTACACGTTCACGTAAGGCGTAATGCCAAGTACTTAAATTTACGTGACGAGTTATACGTTCACGGTACGCTCGATTCGATCCTTGATTTGTAACACAGAAATACGCGGTCGCAATTTTTTGGACGACACTGTACGTTTCTATTGTACAATTGTATTGTATGTAAAAAATAAACTTTCATTATCAGCTGACGGACCAAAACAAACAAGCAGTAGGCAGGTCAAGAGGCTAGTGATTGCTATTCTCGAATGTACAATACAACAAAATAGAGCAAAAATAACTTTAGAGGTTGATTTATAAACATTTATTTTGCGCAAATATTTGTGAATGTAATTCCACGCATTTAAATACATATGTTCATTTGTTTACTGATGAGCTGGTGTTTGTTGTTTTGCTTCTTTCTCTAGAGAAAATTGCACTATGCATAAACGAAATTTACTCATACATTTGTTCATAAATGATTTATATGATTTATATTATATATATGTAAGTACATATATAAATTTATAATAGATTTTCTCCGCCACTTAAGCCAAGTTGTTAATTAGTTTCGTAAAAATATATGTATATGTGTGTGAATGTGTGAGCATTTTCGTAAATAAACAGATTCTGAGTATTATGGAGAGTGCGTACACTGAAAAAAATTCATAAAAATATATTGTAGAAGAAACTTCATCGATTCGAGTAGCGCAGATAGAAATATTCTTAATAATCGTAAAAAGGGAATGAAAGGAACGAAATAAAAAAAAAAAAAAAAAAAAAATAGTTATGAGAAGAATTATTCGGAAAAAAGGACCTGAGTTTTGCCAAAACCTCAAATAATTGTCGTGGGATATCTTGTAGAAGTAGTCCTAATAGAACGAGCAATTTCTTTACAGGGTGCCCCAATTTATTTATTTCTATTTTTCAATACATAAATAAATTAGACTTTGAACACCGATTGCCTTAGTTAGATACGTTAGCACAGTAATCATGAATCGCTTCACATCGAAACAGTGAAGCCTTAACTTGATTAAAGCTCCTCACTTCTACAGACACCAACTGAAAACATTCTTCATTAGTCGCTCGGTGTCACATTTTGTTGTGCACGAGACCCAGGTGAGATCGGCAAGTGGCTCTCTTACTCTCTCCCAGAACTACAAATATCATATCGTCAACTTGACGTACATCAACGAATAATGCTGCAACTGCCCATCTTACATACCACACAGCCATAACACCCAACTGTAATGGAGGCGACCACTTTTCGTTTACATGGCGTTCTCATAAAATAGGTTGCTATGGACGGAAGGTATGTAATATGGATAGTTGCTGCATTATTCGTTGATGAGCGTCAAGTTGACGTTATGATGCTTGTGGTTCTGGGTAAGACCCTGTCAAAGAGAGCAGCAACCTATCTTATCTTACCTATTGCCACCGCCCGTCGACGCCGTTCCTGATGGTTGTCCCATAGAAAAAACTCATGTTTGTATAGTCTCTTACAGTCGGCTGCTTTGGCTGTGCGGTATCTAAGATGGATAGTTACAGCATCCTCAAGGCAAACAATCGTTCCGAAATCATAGTTGCACCACTTAAGAGGCTCGAAAAATTAGAGAGACCTGCAGTTTATTCTCAGCCGTCTCCAAAAGGCCGCTGAATTTATCTGAGGAGCTTTTATTTCATTGCAGAATTACGCTCGAAGGGCTTACTTGCCTAGGAGCAACCGCAAGTAGAAAAATTAATTTTGTTTAATTTTGTATCATGGTCGGACCAGGCCTTCCGCACGGCAGTATTTTTATATTCTGACGCACCATGCACTCTACAAATTTTTTTGAATTATCCTCGAATATTTTGGGACCTGACTAGAAATATTATAATATCTTTTCCCCGATTTTGTTTATTAAATTTCTGAAGAAATATATTTTTCTTTTAACCGAAACAATTATTTTCCTCAGTGCACACATTTTCTCAAGCTAATAGACGAACACCGCCGATAGCCTAATTCTTTGACGAATTAAAAATATGCGTCAGTCAGCCGTAGGAGCGCGAGAAAAAAGACTGTGCCAAGCTTTTAGTCGTAATTTAGCGTAACAACAGTGCGGAGCTTAAACGTTGAGCCTCATTAACGCTAATCAAGTCTTAAATTTATAAACACACATACACAGCATGAAACCGTTATTATGTAAGTCAAAAATAATAGCTTGAATTAATGAAAATACTCAAGGTAAATCATTACGCACATAGTTTTCATCGCATTGGTCACGCTGGGCAGCTGCCTGCTGCTGGGTGATGCCGCCACCGTTGGTAATACTGAGTCCACTGAACGTAATCTCTTCGCCAGTGATATTTATCAGGCTGTCGCCTCGAACCATTTGGGTGAGGATGTTGTGATCGCACCTGCGGCCATACAAACCGCAATGGCCTTGGCCTTCTTCGGCGCAAAGGGACGTACAGCAAGCGAAATTCAAGCAGGCATACGTCTCGGTTCGGCCAATTCCGATGAGGTAGTGCGTCGCTTTAGCGCTTATCAAAGCGCCTTTACGCGCAGCAACAATATGCGTCTGTTCAATAAGATATATATAAATGAGAATTTGGAATTCAAAGCAAATTTCCGTGATGTCGCGCGACGCAGTTTCGATTCGGATCTGGAAACAGCCGATTTTCATCCACCCTACAATAAACGCACCGCCGAACGCATCAACAAAGAGGTGGAGCAGAAGACTTTGAACAAAGTCACGAATATACTGCAACCCCAACAGTTGAACGATCTGACTGAGGGTGTGATGGTGAATGGTGCGGCGTATACCGCTCCTTGGTTGAACGCTTTCAAGGCCGACAAAACGGAGCGTCGCGAATTTTCATCTGGCGGACGTCGTTCGGTCAAAGTGGATATGATGTGGACGGTGAACAATTTCCGTTATGGCGAAGTGAATGAATTGGATGCGAAGGTGATCGAATTGCCCTATCAGAACACTGAATACTCTATGCTCGTGGTGTTGCCGAATCAAATGAATGGTCTGCCTGGTCTCGTGCAACGTTTGGTGGGCAAGAATTTGGTTGGACTCGTCGATAGTCGCTTGAGCTCGCAGAAGGTGGAGGTGCGTTTCCCTAAATTCGGCTTCGAATTCGGCGTCAACTTGGAGGAGCCCTTCCGGCAGGTATGTAAACACTTTGAGGTGAAAGCGAAAGCAGCGAGTATTTTATATTAATTTTTTTTAAAGCTCGGGGTGACAACCATGTTTACACGTCAAGGCGACTTTGGTAGTATGTATCGCATGTTTGTCAGTCATTATATCAACAGCGCTAATCACAAGGCTTATGTGGCGGTAACTGAGGACGGCTCTGTGCCATCATTGGAATCTGGCGGTAATTTGCTTCTATTTAAAGATCTTGATAAAATTTTTCAAATGTCTCTATATCTACAGGCATAAAGAGCTTCCTGACATTCTCGCGTCCGAAACAAATCGAAGTGAATCATCCATTTGTGTTTGCCATTAAACATGAAGACTCAATTATATTCATGGGTCACGTTACAAATAATGTTTAGGGGAAGAGTTTGAAGGTCTTACAAAGAGCTGAAGTGGTGTGGTGAAGATAAGCGAGTTCTTTTATTTAGTACTATTAACCGATTTGTTGAAAAGTGAATTTGAATAAAGATTTTGTTTGAAAAGTTCGAAGAATATTTTCTTGTTTCTGAATTTTGCAGATTACCAGTGCTCTAGATACCCCGGATTCGTCCAATAAGGGTACGGGTATTTCGTTACTTACTAAGTGTGACTTCGCAAGAATATCTTCGGACTTATCTTCTGGCTTACGGAAACTTTGGAAATTCGAACACCAGTTCATCTTTCTCCTTTCCTGAAAGCTCAGATTGAAAGGAGCCTTATTTGGTAAGCTACTTTTCCGCACTGAAGACCAAGGTTCGAGTCCTGTTTCGATCAACTTCTAAAATTAACTTATCTAATTGCGGTTCGAATATAATCACGTAAGCGGTGCCAACGCCAATAAAGAAGATCTGTTTCCCCTTGGCTCTTCCAACTGGCACCAAACAACGAGGAGAGGGAACGAATAGCGCGATATTGTTCTTTCGGCTAAGCGGAACTCACGCCAATGAAGAAGAATTTTGAATTTTTAAAAGAAATTTTGGAATATGTAAAGAGCAATCAACATACTATCACCGGAAAAGCAGAGAACATCACTTGAGTTCCATGTCACACGGATTTGGTTGGCATTGACCCCAGAAGAACACTAAAAGTCCTGGCGAAATTAAAAACTTAAGGAGTATCAAAAAAAAAAAAATACTGTGGGACCGCATGGAATGCATAAAGATCAAAGTTACTGGCATTTCATGGAATGTGCTCCATAATATCAACATTACGTCCGCTATTGAAGCGTCGTATCTTTTAAGATACTTCCAACTCCAAGCTAACGTAGATGTCTTAAAGAAATTAAGTCACGAATATACTCAATGCGGCCACTGGTGGTAAGATGCTCAACCTCTGATTTTAATCAACAATCTCAACCAATATAGAGGTCGAGAAACTTCCAACAATCCATGAAAGGTGTAAATCCATCTCACTTCTGAAGCTAATTTAGAGTTTGAAAAGTCTGTTATTTCATAGTCCATTTTCAGCAAAGACGATAAAGATGTCTCCACTTAGTCACTGTTAACATGGAAAAGAGAGGAGGGCGAAATTTTGAAGAAGAAACGGTTATTCGAACCCATTATGCAACCGAAGGATTGCATTACGTTTAACATTTTTTTAACGATTTGTCTGTAGTTAGGTTCTTCTCTCCATACCTCTGATCAGCTCTAAGCCATCTAATATCTGATACAATGAAAACATCTTTCTTTATTTTTGACTCTAAAAGGCCTGAATGTGGGATTGGAATAATTTTATTAGTGTGTACCCAAGTATGATGAAGGTCGTTATTTTCGTGAGCATAAGCTTCTTCGGAGCCCAAAACATTTTGGGGCAGTGATTCCTGCTGTCCTCTGTTGCATAGACACAACAACCAAATGAGTTTCGTCAACTTAGATGCTCGGGGTTTATAAGTCATCGCTTACTTGCCAACCAATTTCAAGTTCTTTAAGATTTTATAGAGGTGTCAAAATGACCGATCGAGCAGAACTGCTTTAAGTATTCTTTCTGATGGATCTATAAATAACTCGACACTGTGCTGAATCGTATGACATCTTAATGCATTAAACAAACTTTCAATATTGCTATGATATCAAACTTTTTTTTTTGCCCAAAATGCAAGAGCTTGACTTGTGGTTTCAACAAGACGCTGCCAGATGCCACACGGCACGCGTAACAATGGACTTATTGAGATGCGAGTTCGGTGAAAATTTTATTTCACGCTCGGGATCGGTCAATTGGCAGCCTAGATCGGGTGATCTAAAGCCTTTAGACTATTTTTTGTGGGGCTATATTAAATCTAACTGCCTACACAGCCAAGCCCGCTTCAATTGACGCATTGACAACATTGAAGCATTTATTTGTGGGATATGAGCCGCACTATCGATTCAAATAAAGATTCCATGCATATTTCTGAATTTTATGTGTTTTTTTTCATAAAAGCTTTTCTAAAGATCGTATTAAATCACCCATTACCTTTGCACTTTGGACCAAGCAGTAACCTATGATATACGGAAAAGATTTACTTTTGTCCTTAGAACGTCCTGACGCTAAAATGGCACGTCTTACCCCACACACCATAATCTCCAGGACTTGGTCTTTCCGTCTACTGGCATTTTCGACGGATGCAAAACGATTTGTGAAAGAAAAGGACTAAAATATAACCAGGTAGTTTAGAGACGTTATCTAATGAAGTAAACTATTGTAACTGGAGAGGAATTGACTGAAATTTCAAACTTGTTCGCATCTTATCCGATGGTACTAGCTGCTAAGAGCCGCAAACATCTCAGTTTCAGCAATTCGTTCGTCGAATTTTTCGGTCGAAGGCAAACAACAATGGCGATTCTTTTTTGCCTAGTAGTTGGGAGGAAATAATTTAAACTAGGTTAGGTAGCGCTAGACGATGCTTCGTATCTGATATTTTCAGATATACTACACGCAACCATTAGCTATTGCTACACTTTCTCTTTTATCTCTAGTTTGGAGAACGCTATTATTTTCTTAGTAATTGTCGCCGGAGTTTCGGGCCTTTAATACTGAAGAGAGTAGGTTTTGCAGTTGATCCTTGCGAAGTGAAATCATCCTTTGTCTACAGAACGCCGGGTTCTCACATGTTACTTGCTGTATATGCTCTAACCCTTCCCTACCCATTTGGTCAGCCAGGCTTAATAGAAGATATGTAAAGCCTTATCTGCGAAGTTCGCTTCAAACCGTCTGCCTCTATTGCAGTAACGACGTAATCTTTTCTAACTCCCAGCTGATTTAAGTCATGTAGTCGGCAGTTCTGTATGCCCTGATTACGGCTACTAGTGTTGTCATTGGTATATTCTAAGACGCATGAAGCGTCTGCAGAACTAGATAACAGGGTCGGTGGCATTGTCTCGTCAGTACACCATTTTTCAGGCATAACTAGCCATACATGATGGCTGTCAATTGTCTCAGCTCAATGGTGCTCTCAGAAAATTATATTCATATATTTTCGGATAGCCAGGTAACATTAAGAGACCTCAAAACTGTAGCAGTAAAATCAAAAACTCCTAAAGTGATGGTAAAGCAGTTCTCACTGAACCTGGTATGGTTGCCTAGTAACATACCGGATAATGAGATGGGGGATGAGCTTGCAAGAACGGGAGCTTCCCTTATCGTCTAACGACTTGTGCAGAAGTTGCAGACAAGAAAAGGAATCTGAAACCTTTAGATAGTTCCTTTACGACTGCCTAAGGCTTTAAAGGGGTAGCTTGGCGTTCCTGCGCGGGGGGTAACCTTTAGAGACTTGAGTAGACGGTAGCTCAGTTTTCCAAACTCCACACATTGGCTTGATTCGCGGGTGAGGGTTATTATGATCCTCATTGGCATCACAATTTTCCGTTTTGGTGGATTAAGTGAACTTCATCAATTCTTCAGATTTGATAATTAATATTTAATCCTAAAACGTAACACTATAAGCTTCATATAGTTGATATGAAAGGTATAAGGACTTCAACATGGCGGAAGACACCTCTCCATTCTTGTTTGGCATTGCTTATGCGTCAAAATTTCATCCTAAGGCATTTCTGGTAGTATTCTACTACTCGTGGATATGAGTTCGAGACATATTAACTAAAATCTAACAGTAATTATTTTACCTTTCTAACTCCAAGGTTTTCTGCGGTCTCTTATCCATGTTTGTAATGTATGTTGATTTTCCACTTGGAATACAATAATTATTAATTGTTATTAATATTATGGTGTGTTTATTCAATGTTTAATTTTACATTTCACATTGTTGCAATTTTATTTAATTGCAAAATTCTTTTTCAAACGCGCACAACATTTTTTATTATTTAAAAAAAATTCACTTCAAAATTAATACTCTCAATAACACCGCAAATTTAACACAAATATTTGCATAGATTCACATACATATATACATACGTATATACATATACAGGCTTATGCTTATAATTAAATGCTTAAAAATTCATATTTTTCTAACAAATATTAAATTCAAAAGCGAAATTATGTCACACAATCGACACTTTTTTCGCGCAAAATATACATACATACAGCATATAGTACATACATACATATATTGTATATTATTGGGTTATGAGTAACTTAATGACTTCAATGGAATTATTTATGCTTGAACCTTCGTAGGTTGCTAGATAGAGGCACATATACACACGCATACATATAAACATATGTATGTTTGTATAAAGTTATGTAGTTTTTGCTCCATAACTTTTAATTTCGACACAGACAAAATTTATAGCATCAAAACGATTTTGAATCACTTTTTAACATAGTTGTTGCTGCTGTTGTTGTCGTTAACGATTTTCGCACTGATTAAGTTTTCGCAGCTCCAGGTGGATTATGACCTTTTTTTGTTAATTTTTTGTAATTTTTTTGATTAATTTGAAAATACAATTTTTATTACTTTTTCACATTCGCGTTTTTGAATTTATTTCCAAAAAAAAAAAATTTTTATTGCTAATTTTTATGCCATTTTATTTTCACTTATTGTCGATTACAATCAACTGACGTAAATCACAAATTATGCGCGACCAATGCAAATGCGCAGCGCAGTTGTCTTAATGGCCATCAGCGACACCCTCAACATCAGTATATATGAGTACATACATACATATGTATGTAAATTCTTACGTCGATATAGACTCACGTACATATGTACATATGAATGTCGGTATATAGGTGAGCTCCAATTCCAACTTTGTTGCTGGCCAACATTGGCGTGACGGTGAGAGCGCAGGCACAGCGACCGACTGTGGCGAATTGTTCACTTTTAACTTGATTATTTATTAAACATATAGCGGTTTCTTTTTTGTTGTTGGGTCATTTGGTTTTTTTTTTAATTTCAAATTTTTTTTATTTAATTTTGCAATTTTTTAATATTTCTTCTACA